CACCCCAAGACTGCAGTGTAGACACACCTTCAGTATCTTGCCCAACATCACACTGAAGTCTACCAGAACAAGATATTGACCCTGGTCTCTGGAGTCCCAGGTCTATGTCCTGACCACTGGGCCAGCCTCTCTGTTCTGCTGTTAGCTCTTCATGGCTGAACTTGGAAAGGTTTTAGAAGCAAAACAAAACAAACTTCTGAACTACTTAAAACAAAAATAGTTTAAATTCAAATTCTGAGAACAGCATTTCCCTCAAATGAATTACTTGCTGATTTCAGCTCCAACAGCTCTCCAGAAATATTTGTAGTGCCCCAGATTTGTGCCCAAATTCTAAATAGGTAATGACCACAAGTGCTCAGAAGTATGCGTGTGGTATTCAGAACATTCATGACCACAGCCAGCACGACTCAGGAAGGTACTGCCTTACTGGGGTTGTATTCTCAAATCTTTTCACACAACATCATAAATGATAATTAATGGGGGAAAAGGGTGATTAGCAATACTATAAAAAATCATTAATGGTTTGATCCAAAGCACACTGAAGTGAGTGGAAAGGCTCCCACAAGTAGAACTGGTTGAAATATTTATAATTTTTTTTTAATTTAAAAATGTCCTTTTTTGAAAATTAAGTTTGTTTTAAAAATTGTTTATCAAAATTTTCCCCCCCTCCCCACCCATGGAAAACACATTTTTTTTAATTTTCCCTTCTTCCCTTTTTCTGTTTTTTCAGCAGCAAAATGAAAAAAGTGGGAGACAAGGAGAAAAAAGTAAAAACAATGAAAACCAAAAAAATTTTGGTAAATGTTTACAAAAACAATAATAAAAAAAAATCAATCCTTTTTGCAAACTTCAAAAATGTTCATGAATTTTTGCTGTTATTTTTGACCAACTCTTGGGCCCTGATTATGCATACCTCTGCATAGGCAGACTGCCATTGACTTCCTTGCGGCTCCAAATGGGAGCAGCACCATATGGATTAACTTGCAGCATCAGGACGTTAGCTTGTAGATGCCAAGCTTTGGGACTGGGTCAGACTCCAGGAGACCAAGAAAGTTATTTTTGTTGATGAGACACAGACTAAGTGACCATAGAGTCCTCTGGCAGCTTGCTTCTAAGACTGTCTCTATCATATAAGGAGAAAATCATTATTGATATAAATATCACGCACACTCTGCTAGGCCAACCTGAGGGGATCCAACAAGAAAACTAAATGAGTCTCCAGGGAAATTAAGCCAAACTGAAAGTCCTGGCAGAACAGGGTAATAATTTCCTTTTTGAATGAGTAATTGTTTAGAATTTAACCAGGCAAACATGATTAAAAGAAATCAATATAAATTCTAGGTCTGGTAATACTAAGTAATGACCTGAAGGAAATGAAAAGGGAACAATTAACAAGAAAATAGGATATTCGGGACTATTTAGAAAAGCTGGACGAGCACAAGTCCATGGGGCCGGATGCGCTGCATCCGAGAGCGCTAAAGGAGTTGGCGGATGTGATTGCAGAGCCATTGGCCGTTATCTTTGAAAACTTATGGCGATCGGGGGAAGTCCCGGACGACTGGAAAAAGGCTAATGTAGTGCCCATCTTTAAAAAAGGGAAGAAGGAGGATCCTGGGAACTACAGGCCAGTCAGCCTCACTTCAGTCCCTGGAAAAATCATGGAGCAGATCCTCAAGGAATCAATTCTGAAGCACTTAGCAGAGAGGAAAGTGATCAGGAACAGTCAACATGGATTCACCAAGGGCAAGTCATGCCTGACTAATCTAATTGCCTTCTATGACAAGATAACTGGCTCTGTGGATGAGGGGAAAGCAGTGGACGTGTTGGTCCTTGACTTTAGCAAAGCTTTTGACACAGTCTCCCACAGTATTCTTGCCAGCAAGTTAAAGAAGTATGGGCTGGATGAATGGACTATAAGCTGGATAGAAAGTTGGCTAGATTGTCGGGCTCAACGGGTAGTGATCAATGGCTCCATGTCTAGTTGGCAGCCGGTATCAAGTGGAGTGCCCCAAGGGTCGGTTCTCGGGCCGGTTTTGTTCAATATTTTCATAAATGATCCGAACGATGGTGTGGATTGCACCCTCAGCAAGTTTGCAGATGACACTAAACTGGGAGGAGAGGTAGATACGCTGGAGGGTAGGGATAGGATACAGAGGGCCCTAGACAAATTAGAGGATTGGGCCAAAAGAAATCTGATGAGGTTCAACAAGGACACCTGCACTTAGGACAGAAGAATCCCATGCACCACTACAGACTAGGGACCGAATGGCTCGGCAGCAGTTCTACAGAAAAGGACCTAGGGGTTACAGTGGATGAGAAGCTGGATATGAGTCAACAGGGTGCCCTTGTTGCCAAGAAGGCAAATGGCATTTTGGGATGTATACGTAGGGGCATTGCCAGCAGATCGAGGGACGTGATTGTTCCCCTCTATTCGACATTGGTGAGGCCTCATCTGGAGTACTGTGTCCAGTTTTGGGCCCCTCACTGCAAGAAGGATGTGGAAAAATTGGAAAGAGTCCAGCGGAGGGCAACCAAAATGATTAGGGGACTGGAACACATGACTTATGAGGAGAGGCTGAGGAAACTGGGATTGTTTAGTCTGCGGAAGAGAAGAATGAGGGGGGATTTGATAGCTGCTTTCAACTACCTGAAAGGGGGTTCCAAAGAGGATGGCTCTAGACTGTTCTCAGTGGTAGCTGATGACAGAACAAGGAGTAATGGTCTCAAGTTGCAGTGGGGGAGGTTTAGGTTGGATATTAGGAAACATTTTTTCACTAGGAGGGTGATAGTGATAATCTAGGTGGGCCATTTCCAGCAGTTGACAAGAATGTGTGAGGAACAGTGCGGGGGGGGGGGGGGGGTTGATTTAGTAATCAAAAGTTCTCCTACAGGAAATTAGTACCAACCCCTAGTAATAAAGCAATAATGGTATTGCCAAAGGTCTGAAAGGTTCCTGAGAGGGAAGTTGGACTAGGAAATATATGTGTAATTTAAAAAAAAAAGATCAGTTTAAGTTTATAATTGTGTAGCAACATTGTTTTCCTCTTGTAGCAATTTTTTCATGGCTTTGGAATAATAATATTTTACTAGGTAAGTTATTTTTATATTTATCAGGTATGTATTCTTGAAGTGCAACGTTTTGGCCTTTTTCCCTTCCGTCAATTGAAGCACAATAGTTTAACTAGGCTTTGAAGATAACCCTTCAGTGAGATCAATGAGCTCCTGGGATGATAGAATTCTCCCTCAGAAAGATGAAGTGGATGGAGTAAGTCCTCAACCTTTGCCCAGCTGTCATTTAGTTGAAAACAGTTTTCTGCAAGGCTGAGTTAACAGAGGGGCAAAAGGAGCCTCACTGATTTCAAAGGGCTTCAGATCAGGCCAAGAACCCATTACTTCCATGATTGCTTTTGTCATTTACCTTTTAGTTTTTTTGTATAGTCACAATGTAAATGCTCTCATCCTCTGCTTTAAATAAAATAAAATCACAGCCTGAAACAAAATTCTGTAAATCTATATCAGAAATACATTAAAAAAAAATCCTTAGCTGTTCAACTGATGTTTCCCAAGCCCTACTTTAAAACAGTGCGGCTCTAGTCCCCCAGGACTAACTGGGGTTGGCTCCCCATTCTAAGAAATGCAACGTGTTTCACGGGATTGCAGCACTAGTCAGGTTTGTCCCAGCTGCTCCTCTGTCATGACGACTAGGGCCAGCCGGGGCAAATTTGAGTGACTGGCACTGTGAGCTCATATGCCAGGTCACAACACTCACACATATTTTTCAGGTTATAAAATAATACAAAACACACTGAATACAAAATAAAGACTTAAAAAAGAGGAGGGGAGCAGGAAACTTCAGAAAGTTATATTTGAAATGGCAGCACTCACTTAATTTCCTGTGTGGGGCAAATTTGCCTCTGTCCTTTTAGAATGTTGGGCTGAAAAACAACACATGCAGGGCTATTTTTTAAAAAATATGTAAATAATTAGAGTTTCTCTGCCTATTTGTCTTTACTGTCCATTCTGGATCAGTTGGCAGGTTGCTACACAGCAGAATGCCATCTTTCAAGGTAAGGCACAGTTTTGTTTTTGTTTTGTTTTATGATAAATCTTGGGATTCCTGGTAGTCTGTGGTAATATCTTTCTTACACTTGCTCATATTTGATGTTGTTGGGCATAATACTTTGTGTCACATCCCTCAGCTATCTGTGTGGTTAGCGTGGTTAGTTTCTTGCTCAACAAATGTCCCTTGCAGCTGCTGGGAAACATTCGCTCTCTCACAGCAACATGGCACATACCGGAGCTCGTGCTTTCTACAGCTTTTCCTTTCCCCCACGTGCTTAAACAGCACATCCCAGATATATAGATTTTAAAGGTCAGAAATGACCATTGTGATCATCTAGGCTGAGTTCCTGCTAAGTAGGTCAAATAATTTCACCCATTGCTTCCTGTATCGTTTTACAGTATTGCCAACTCTCAGGACAGGAGGTGTTTCTCTGGAAGCCCCAGCTTCTGGAGTCATATGATTATATGAGACTTAAGGAAAAACAGGTTTCCAAGCCCCTGACAGTTGAGGGGAAATGCTTGAACTGTGACCTAAAGGCGTAACATCTGCAAGGCAAAGCAAGCCACCCCCACTTCACCATGATATTTTTGGAATTTCATTATTTTTAAAATCAGCCTCAAGATTTTTGCAAGACTGTGGCTAGCAGAGAGTCCAGCTGCAGCCCACCTCCTGGCCCGCTCCTTCCCTCTCCCTCCTTGGCACCAGTCACTCCCCCAGCAGCACTCATTCCCCTCCTAAAGTAGCCCATGCAGGGAGGGTCAGGGATTGGAACACGCGGCTTTTTAATACCTGGGGCTGCGCATGCGCACAGCGGAGACCCCCCCCATATTTGTTTCCCCAGCCAACGAGCGCATGCGCGCGCCCGCCCGCCACCGTAAAGCTCTCCCGTGAAGGCGTAAAGCTCTCGCCCTCAAACGGTTGCGCCTGCGCAATGCACTGCTGGCGCCTGCGCAGTCAGTCGGGGCCCGTGCGTGGAGATGGGCGCGGCGGCGGCCGAGGCCAACCGGACCCTGTTCGTGGGGAACCTGGACCCCCGGGTGACCGAGGAGCTGGTCTTCGAGCTCTTCCACCAGGTACCGGCTTCTGCGCTCTCCGGGGGGGGCGATCTGAGAGGGCAGGACGAGGCCGGGCGGTTCCCGGCAGCAGCCTTCTCCCCCCCCCGCGATGGGCGTCAGCCCCGCCCCCATCCCAGGCTCCGCCCACGGGCCCGGGCCGCTCGCTCCGGCCGAGCCCCGCGCGCCTCCGCGTGCCTCCGCCTGCGTGCGAGCGTCCACACGGCACTCGCCCTCCCTGGAGCCGGGTCTCGGACACGTCCCCACCGCACTGCGCAGGCGGCGCCTGGCCTGGGGCTCTGCGCTGCCGCCGCGCTGAAAACGGCAGGGCTTGGCTCCTAGTCACAGCGGGGCTTGGCTCCCCACCCACCCCTCTAGCAGGGCCCTCGGGACCAGGGTCTTGAATGCTTGCTGGCTTCAGTCAGGTGGATTTGAGCGTGGACCAAAGGGAGCGTGGGCTCAAACGTGAGTCAGAGCTTGGGCTGAGTTGTGCAGTGTAGACATACGCTGATGTTAAAGCCAGCAATCACCATTTTGATTATTTAGTCCAGTGATTCTCAAACTTCATTGCTCCGCAACCTCCTCCTGATAACAAAAATTACTACAAGAAGAAAAGGAGTACTTGTGGCACCTTAGAGACTAACCAATTTATTTGAGCATGAGCTTTCGTGAGCGAGCTGTGGCTCACGAAAGCTCATGCTCAAATAAATTGGTTAGTCTCTAAGGTGCCACAAGTACTCCTTTTCTTTTTGCGAATACAGACTAACACGGCTGTTCCTCTGAAACCAAAAATTACTACATGGCCCCAGGAGGTGGGATCGAAGTCTCCGCCCACCTGAGCACCACCGCCCTGGGTCGAGGGACCAAAGTTCAAGCCTCACCACCCCATGCAGCGGTGGGGGGCAAAGCTGAAGCCCAGGCTTCATCCCCAGCCGGGGGGTGGGGACCTGTAACCTGAGCCCCTGTGCCCAGGGCTAAAGTCAAAGCCTGAGCCCAGGGCTAAAGCCCTTGGCTTCGGTCCTGGGCCCCAGCAAGTATAACACCAGCCCTAGCAACCCCATTAAAACGGGTTGTGACCCACTTTGTGGTCCTGACCCACAGTTTCAGAACTCCTGATCTAGTCTGACCTCCTGCAAAAGGCAGGTCAGAGAATTTCGCACTTCAAATCCTGCATGAGCACTGTTAAACTCTTACAATTTTATTGCCAGGCTCATGATATTATATGTGGGTTTTTTGTGAAGGCACAACTGCTGAAGTAGATTGAAGAATACCACATAGTTCTTACAGCACTTGCTATTAGCAGATTTCAAAGCATTTCACCACACTTTAATTTATTGTCCTCAATACTCTGAGGTGGAGGAATATTCTCATTTTTATAAGTGGAGTACTGAGGCACAGAGAGGCTACATGAATTAACCAAGATCATACATCTGACGAAGTGGGTGTTCACCCACGAAAGCTTATGCTCCAATAAATACGTCTGTTAGTCTGTAAGGTGCCACAGGTCTCTTTGCCGCTTTTACAGATCCTGACGAACAGAACTACCCTTCTGATACTCAAGGTCATACAGGAACTCACCAGTCTTGAACTCCAGTCTCCCTAGTATTAAGATGGTTTAGTGGTGAGGCACTGAACCATCAACTAACACTTTTTTAAAAAAAAAATCTGTCATAATTGTGAAGGAAAGCTTGAAATGTGACCTAAAGGGTCAAACCAGGAAACACAGAAACCAAAACTTAGTATTATCAGATGTCATGATTTTTAAGCCAGTGTCACTATTTTTGATTGCTTGTGGCTGGCAGTATTGCTCAAGTCTATTCCTTGGTCTCTTTCTTTCCTTTCTAATTTGAGGTAGTCTTGCCCTTCTGTTGCAGTACGTATTTTGTTCTTAGAGTAACATACATGGCTTGCATAACTACAACTGCTTCTTATTACTCTTTGTATTGTGCTAGTGCCTAGAGGACACTGTATCAGGACATTGTATGCACGCATAATAAAAAGATACTCCCTGCCCCAAACAGCTTCACTTAAATACAGATGCATGTAACATTTCTCTGCAGAACTGGCATGTGTGTGGTGTTCTTTGTGTGCTTGCTTATGAGTTTCTTGATTTCCTTTTCCATTTCTTTGTAAGAGTAAAACTCTTCTGAACTTGCTCCATTTTTATTTAACATTTTTTGTTTCTTGATTTGCAGGCAGGTCCAGTAATTAAAGTTAAAATACCTAAGGATAGAGATGGTAAACCAAAGCAATTTGCATTTGTGAATTTCAAACACGAAGAATCTGTCCCTTATGGAATGAGTCTGCTTAATGGGATCAAACTTTTTGGAAGGCCCATCAAAATTCAGTTCCGATCAGGTATCCATGAAATAAACATTTAAACAATCTAGTTGTTTTAGGCAAAGTGGAGTTATCTTTTTCCCCCTTCACAAAAAATTTGACTATTTATATTTAATATTTTTAGATAAAAAGGATATTCATTGTAGGATATCAAATTATAATTCATTTTTCTAATGGTTGGTATATTTGTGAAATGAAGGTGTCAGAACAGATTTGTACACTAGCCTTTCCTTATTATACTTTTCCTGCAGCAGGAGACTTGTCTGTCAGCTCTGCCTGAGCATAAGCTGGTTTGTTTTTGTTTTTTTTTAGTGTTAACTTTGGTTTCAGGTTTTTGTTTTTTACACTGCAAATGTTGTGTGAATGGTGACTATAGCAATCCTAATCAATTACATCTATGTATTTAGAGAACTTCTACATTTTTCTCAAGGCTGTTCAAATCTACAGTATGGGGGTGTGGGGGGGAAGCTTCCGATTTAGCTGAGTGTATACCCAAAATTGTCTAATAGCATTGAAACAGCAGAAATGGCTCAGACTCAAATGATAGGATTATTGAATATAAGACTCTCTGTTTTGGAAATGGATAGGATGGCAAATGAAGCTCTCTCACGTAGGGATAAATTGCTGCTGTTGAACAAATTCAACCAATTCAGGAGAGTTGGAATTTGCATGCTCAGAAAGAGGGAAATCTTTGTTTCTAGTCCCCGTCACCCCCCCCATGATAGAGAGGTTTGGAAGAGGTGCAGTCATAAGGTTGTATAATGTTCTGGAGGCAACAGTGTAGAGTGAATGCCTGGGTTTACCAGTGGGAGTGACTGATTCCTGAAAAGAGGAAGGAAATATCTATTGGAAGTCTTGGATAAGAATGCTCAAAAAGTGGTGGTAATCCTTTAGATCAGTGATGCCCACCCTTATTACACAGGAGGGCCATATAAACCCAACTTTGTGTGGGTCAAACAGATTAAATCTTAAAATATGTACAGAGTCACCTATATTGATATTTTAAGTTCAGCATGTTTTGTACATATTTAGAATATTCTGTACATAGAAAACCTTTTAACACACTTGTGCAAACTAAAATGATGTAAGCATGACAAAACGCTAATAAATTGGCTGTTAGCGTATTATGTTGAAGCAGGCTGCAAGCCTTATGAACTGCTCTGGTGGGCCATAGAATTCATTAACTTTATTTTCTTGGGTTTCATGCAAAAGGTTTTACATGTAGTACCAGATAAGTAGGGTCAGTAAACAATCCATTTAAATATATTCCTGCCTATTACATAGGTGAAAAAATTGAGTTCAGTGAATGCACAGTTTAGTCGTTTGGAGTGTAATACAGGACACACTGGAGTCGGAGGCAAAGCTCAGATTAATACATTATGGTAGTATCTAGTGGCTGCAACTAAGATTACTGCCCTATTGTGCTTAGTGGTGTATGGCATAAGAGATGATCCTTGCCTTGATGAGTCCCTTGCTTTCAATAGGTGAGGCTCAAACCATTAGTGAAATAAGTTGCCTTAAGAAACATAAGCTTTCCTACAAGGTAAGGAGAGCTCACTCTTCAGGTTTTCTGCTATATGTTTTAGATTATCTATTTTATAGCTCCAAGAAATACTCTAAACCGGTGCCTCTGAACCTTTCCAGATCCCTTTCAAGAGTCTGATTTGTGTTGTGTAACCCCCAAGTTTCACCTGACTTAAACTTACAAAATCCGACATAAAAATACAAAAGTATTACAGCATGCTATTGCTGAAAAATTGCTTACTTTCTAATTTACTATGTAATTATAAAATCAATTGGAATATAAATATTGTACTTACTTTTCAGTGTATCATACACAGAGCAGTATAAACAAATAGTCTGAAATTTATTTTGTACTGACTTCACTAGTTTTTATGTAGCCTGTTAAACTAGGAAAATATTGAGATGAGTTGATGTACCCCCTGGAAGACCTCTGAGTACCCCCCAGGGGTACATGTACCCCTGGTTGAGGACTGCTGCTCTAAACTCCTCATGCTTTAGCTGGGGGAGGGGCGGGGGTTACAAATTACTGTTACTGGCATGTTAGTGACAGTTGTATCTGATTGCAGTTAAACTAGGTTTACTAGCCAGAATGTTGCAAGTTGATTGCATCTTTACCATTGGGTATTAAAACAATTGCAACACCCTGTTTTGTAAACCTGATTGTGTGCCTTGACGGTTCACTAATGAAACTCCAAAGCTAATTAAAAGCAATGCAGTAGTGTTTCCATCTTCTAACAGGTGTTCACTTCTTATCTGAACTTCCATTCGTTCTTTAGGTTGTCTTATAAAATGTTTGTTTTAATTCAGGCAGTAGTCATGCATCTCAAGATGGCAATTCATCTTATTTCCAGCATGGATCTGCTAATACAAGTCCTTCCAGCACACCACATTCAACACCAAATTCAAACAGGTAAAGACTTCTATCCCACCTACCAGCAAGTACTTGTCAAATATATACTTTTGTAATTTAATATATGGTGACTTTGCTGTGGCTGCTGTCCTGCTTCTGGGCAGAGTAGCAGTTGTACCTTCTTTCCAGTGAGAGGCTCTCTTCCTATTCATTTATACTGCTTGTAGGTGGAGCACAGTTGTATCTCTTAGGGCAACAAAATAAAAATTAGGAACCTATTGTGAGGGTGAAAAGTATATGGTGGTTTTGGGTTTTTTTTAATGAAAACAAGGTTGAAAAATGCATACCCAATGTGAAACACTAGCTTTCTAAAGCTTTCCACTTCATATGCTCTAGTGAGCTGCTGTGTTTTGGGAAAAATCTAGTGAAAATAGAAAATTTGTAGTAACTTAGGGCAGGTCTAAACTACTGCTTAAATTAATCTAACTTGCGTCACTTAGGGATGTGGAAAAAGGCCCCCATGTTCCCTCAGCGATACAAGTTTCGTGCTGTCCACACAGGTGCTATATTGGCAGAAGATGCTCTCATACTGACATAGCTTCCGCTTCTTGTGGAGGTGGAGTAATTATGCCGATGGGAGATTGGCATAGCACATCTTCACTAGATGCACTACAGCAGTGCAGCGGCACAGATGTAGTTTAGCCTTGCCCTTAGTGTCTCTGGTTTTTGTTCCTCTGTGTTGCTGTAGACCATAGAGTTTAATTATTTTATTACAAAAGCTGTGTTGTGAAGCTTGATCTGAGACTTCACAGAACCGGTCAGGTGTATCTCAACTGAAATCCTGCATGTAGGTTTTTAAACAGATCTAAATAAAAGGCTGGGTAAGATCATATTGGGGAAAAAATAGCTGACACGTAGAACGCAGGATTGCTTTGCTTAATATAAGCTTTCTGTAAAATCAAAAAGGTGCCAAAATTATCAGCTCCAAAATTGGATTTGTGGTTACCAGAGGAATATACTGTTCAGTGGCCACTATTTGATGGGTTAGTATACCCACTATCAAAAGCAATACTTTTGAGTCTTATGTGGTGATTCACTTAAAACTAGGCTAGTTCTACTCTACATGAGCTGCAACAGAACAGTTGCAGGTATGCTGCTGTAGTGTAGATGCTTTCTATGTTGACAGAAGGAGACTAACACGGCTGTTCCTCTGAAATCTGTTGATGTAGTTAATCTGCCTGTCTGCGAAGCGGTAGCTAGGTCCACTTAACTGCATCTATAGTGTGGGTTAGGTTAACTTAACTACAGTGCACAGGGTGCAAAATTTCTCATAGCTCTGAGTGACATAAATAGGTTGACCTAACTTAGGTGTAGACCAGGCCCTAGTCTCTGGATATGAATACAGTCTTACTGGATGGTTTCTTTTTAACTTGTAAGTTATGACAAGAATGATGTCAAGTACAAGTGTAATAGCTAACTTAAATGTAAATGATCCATGCAGATTTGATTCTTGTCTTGATAGTGTACAAATAAAACTTCAACAGGTCTTGAGTAACTGAACTATTGAGTATTAATTCATGCAGATGTTTAGAAAATCTTATTGACAATCTACCACAAACAACCCCCATGGATGTAACTTTGTGCATTGAATAATTCAGTGGTAAATAGAAATCTCTATCCAGACCTTTTGTGGTGCCATCAAATGAAGCTGTGAATTGCCTTTAGCTCAGTATGTTGTTCAAATGATATCACTTAAGTAGTCACAGTGCAAATAGAGTAAATTTATGCAATTCAGCATACAAAAAAATTGCTACCTCCTGTGGTATAATTTGGTTCAGAACCAGGAAGCAGTTTGTTTTTCCAAATTATACCTTTAGTTACTTTGCATTCCAAACAGTCTTTACAGCTTCTCTCCTTATGGAACAGGTATATGTATTCTTAGTGGCCCAAAACCTAATGGTCTAAATAAGTATTGCCAATTAGTAAGAACATTAAAGGTATGCTGTTACCTTGATGGCTAGTCCCTTTCGAGAAAAGCTAAAAGCAGTTTCAGGTACAATCACTCCTGCCTTAAAGTCCACCTGCCAATTCTTGTGGTCTGAGTCACTTCCCTGTTTAAGCATGTTTTTCCATTGATGTGTGAAAGACCCATACAGAAAAGGGGAAATAACAATGGGCAAAGGGCTGTCAAATACACAAAATAAGCAAGCCTTTTTAAAGAAAAAAATTACAGCATGACTTTTTTTTAAAAAAAACACTGATTAGGCTGCTGATGCCCCTTTAGCTTGCACAATGATGGTTTGAAACACTAAAGACTAAAATTCCTAATCTTTCTTCAGCAGATATGATAGGAGCACAGATAACACGTTAACAGGATTCACATCCACGCAGATGCTGCAGAGGTCTTTCTCATCTCCTGATAACCTTCAGAGACAAATGGTATGCTGTTAAGTCAATAGAAACAGAAAATCTAAACCTAGTGGTCACAAGCAGTAGGTGGATAACACATGAAAACTCTCTCCTTTTAATTTTAAGTACTTTTTTACTTAGGGATACTTATTTAACAGATACTGATTCACAGGAATGTGTTTATGGAGTGTTGAAAGTATGATTGCAGTAGGCTTACTGTTCCTGCCACTGAAGTGTTTAGTGTCTGAAAACTCTTTGAACCAAAGAGTAACTATAGATAAAGCAATCAGTGTACACGTCTAAACTTACTCTGTGAACCTGCATCCAGTCCTTCTGTTAGTAAGTATTCACATCAAAGCTTTTCAGCTGAGGAGCAAATAGTGTTCCAGAAAGGACAACTTAGCATCCATATGAATAAAACCATCAGCTCTGATTTTTCATTCTGTTTGAGTGTCAACTTCTGAAAACAAATGCTCACTCGCCAAAAATAGGTCAGTATGTTACTTTTTTTGTCTCCTTTGGGTCAACTGTTTAATTGTGTAATCTCTTCAACCAAAACTACATCTCAAAGAAATTAAATGCTCTTGCTTTTTATTATTCTGAATTTTATTTAGTATATCATTTAGAGTTAAGCAGGCCTGGCTCATTAGAGGGATGAAAATACTGTATGACATTTAGGTCTCCAGTAGAGAGTGTGTGGCTGCCATGAATGCTGATGCACATAGTGCATGGTATTCCTCCTGTATTCACTATTTATGTAATGCAGAACTCGTAGCCCTTTGTAAGTATTAAAAAACTGTCCTAAATCTTGCACCATGGAGTGCTGAGCTGTTCCATCAGTCATCCAGTCTCGGCAGAACCAAATGCTGATTCAGTATCCATCAAATCAGCTACACTTCTTTCTTGATTACCCTTTTTTTCCCCCCAGATGAATAGTGGTACACGGCAGCAGTCACAATACAGTGGAAAGTATGGTTCTCCGCATGCAGAGCAGTCTAGTTATATCTCACCAGGGCAGCAGCAGAGTCATTCATTTAATCAGTCTTCAGGCTCACAAATGCAGCGTCGTCCAGATGGATCGTCAGCACAGCGCAAGAACAGGCTGAACTCCCATCCTTATATGGACAGCAGACATTTTAACCGTGAGCAGCGTTTTGGAGACTATGGATCTGATCATCATTACAGAGGGAACAGAGATGAGTACAGCTATGAAGACAGGAGTCCTCATGATGCTGGATCTGATCACTATTCTAGAGGGAACAGGGATGAGTACTGCTATGAAGACAGGAGCCATGATGGCTGGAGCCATGACTATAACAGAAGAGAGAACTACAGAGATGGCAAATGGCGCCCATCCCGGCATTAGCCAGTATTTAAAGTGGACTCTAAAGAACTTTTAGGGGCTCTCTCCTCCAGATCTCAAATTAATTTTAACAAAGTGTATAGAGTAACATTGTAAGTTACCTTTTAAAAAACTTTTGTAAAGTCATGTACATTACCTTTTTTAAAAAAAAGCTTCGTTTTTATTGTATTAACTTTTCACCTCAGGGTTTTATGTGGAGATGTGCCACAACTTTTTTAAAAAAATCGTAGTTTGGGGAGGTGAAGTTGTACAGCTTGGTTGTATTAAAAAATTTTGTATTTTTTGTAGTGTAACTAAAGTCTCTGCAACCAATCTGGTGGTAATCCCATTAAACAAATTCCTTGTATGATGTGTGGCAGTTTAAATATTGAAGACAGTGTTTCATACTGAAATAAAGGTTGCTTTTGAAAATTTAATGTAATTGCCCTATAAAAGCTGTGGATAAAACAATTTCAGTGTTCCAAGTTCTTGCATTTAAGGACTTTGTTCTCATTTGTTCCAATCTTAGGTCTTTTGATTTGTTTAAAAATTATGTGCAATAGCCTAAAATGTTTGAAGAATTTATGTAACTAAAACCATTCAGGAACTGATTACATCCCTTGATGATGTTGTCTGTTTTAGAAAATCTGAATTTAGCCTGTGCCTCTTGATGCAAAGAATTTTTGTTTAATGCACAGGAGAAACAGGTGCCTATTTTATACATTTTTAGATGTATGCCCTTAATTTTTATGCAATATTAACTTTTAAATCAGTTGCTGAATTGTGGTCTGACTGAGCTACAGTATACAAAAGTAATAAGGGTTGATTGATTTGTTCCAGAGTAGTAACCAAGAGGCTGTTAGTGACAGAATTCCACATGTATTGAGATCTTGTTTAAATAACTATTCATGTGCCCTGATCACTTTAATATATGTATTCCTATGTTTCAGTATAGCAATAAACTTTTTTATGAAAGTATTCAGTGAAAAGTTTGAGGTTTTAAGCTGTTTCTCCTCAGTTTGCATCTTAAGGTCTCTCCTACATAGCTAGCAATTGTCAGACTCATGATTGAATGAGAATTGAGTAGTAATTAGAAATACAGAACCAACTAGAAGACTAAATCAAAAGTCTGAAAACTAGATATTTCAGTTAATGTCTCTTACATGGACTTGCTCAGGTTTCAGAGTAGCAGCTGTGTTAGTCTGTATTTACAAAAAGAAAAGGAGTACTTGTAGCACCTTAGAGACTAACAAATTTATTAGAGCATAAGCTTTTGTGAGCTACAGCTCATTTAATTGGATACCCCAAACTAGTCAGAATAAGGAAAATAGAATAGTCAGTATTGTCAAGAGGAATGAATATGCTCAATGTTTTCCTGAAAGATTTAAAGAACTGAGACATCATTAAGGACCCCATCCTTCTTTAAAGCCTGGCATTGGATGACAAGTTTTATAGTACAGTAGAGACATGGAGACTAAACTCTAGATTTTAGTAGTTCCAATCTACTTGACATATAAAATGTTGAGTTGCTTGTCTCCTAGTCTTTGCATGTTCTCATATTGTAATTGTCAAGCTCCATAATATTAAACCCTAAATGAAACTTGTGCCATGAAGTTGCCTTTCAGATCAGGCTGATCTGTGTGTTTGAGAACTTATGCTATTGTTACTAAAGAGGATTTCAGTTTAATATCAGGCTCCATTTTTGACAAGCACAAAAATCCACACAACTATGATAAATTACAATCAATTATGCAAGGTACAAGTGATATGAAGAGAAGTAACTTTAATGCTGTGAAGCTCTTAAAACATTTTCTGTTATGTATGCCCTAGAAATGATTAAAGCCTGCAAGCTATGAAGCAAAGATGCAGGACTTGATAAATGATATGGCATCAGCCATTTCATTGTATGATGATTGGAAGATTTATAAAATTCTGGCAGAAGACTTTTGGAATAACAAATGAATGTCTTCCAAAGACTCATCCTTCATTTTACAAGGATCAACCATTTTGTCTTGGCTGTTCAGAGGTTTTTTCCCAAATCTGAGGCTATTTAGTAGATACTCAAAATAGATATTTTACTACCAAGTTTTAGTGCATTAATCAGAACAGCAACTATTTGCAGAGGATTGGTATCTCCTTTTCCCTAGCAGATACTAAAGTTTAAAAAACCCTTCCTGATCCATTGAATTTAACATGCAAAGAATGAAATCTTAATTTAACTCACCTTTTCCTTGTGTAATGCTAATTCCAGAAAGCTAAGCTGTTCACATACTGAGTTAGGATGACCAGTTCTTCTCTCAGAATAAGTTATTGGGCATGATTTTCAAAATAGGTGCAGTGAATTTAATTAAATGAGCTGCAGGGAAGCCAGAAAACCACATCTTGCTTACAAACTTTGGATAAGAGCCTAGCCATACAGTTTGCCAGAAAATATCAATTCTTTTGTGAAAAAGAAAAGTGATTGGTTTTATCCAAGTAAATGTGTTTTCATCCTGTCATACTTTTAGACAAGTTGAAAAAGTTGATGGGGAAAAAGGGGAAGTTGGGCAGAATGCAGGTGATTTTTTTTTCTGCTAGTTCACTAATTTCTTTGGAGCACACACTGTAATGGAAGTGTTAGTTTCCCAGATGCTGTCCTGATTGCTAACTCCCTCATTTCTTGTAGCACTGAAAACTAGCATTTGTGATCCTTGTGTAGTCTACATTCTGGAAAAGTATTTTTTTAAATTGGTGTAGACATAGCTAAATTGACTTTTCTTGCTTGGATAACTAAGTTTCAATGTAAAAAAAACCCATGATTTAAAAAACAACAACTTTAATTTTGTATATTTTTACTTAAATGCCAGCAGTAGTACCAGGCAATAAGCTCTAGTGCTAAAATAGTCAAATCAGATCTTAGTAGATGTGGTAATGACAATTTCATAACACTCAAGGCCAGATTTTACTATCAAATATCTTAATTCTTTACCTTTTCTATAATTTTTTTCATTCAACCTTCTATTTCATGAGGTATTTCATGAGGTACTTCATGACCTGCAAATGTGACTGCAACAGCAGAAAACTACCATGTTAAAGACATCCATAAGATAACTTGGACATTTAGATATTGATTCTGTAGGATGCTAGTTAAACTAGAAACGTAAAAATTACAAAATACCATTGGTATTATGCATATATCCATGAACTGCTTGTAAATCACTTGGATTTAAGCACCAAGTGGGCTGAATAGGTGCTCTCATTTTAGAATGCCAGGGCCCTTAAATAGTATCTGGGTTTTCTGTTTGGTGGGAAATTCTACAATTTTGAGTTTGTTTTGAAACTTAAAACCAAATATTTTGAAATGATCAAACAAGGCAGGCCAAACTGGGTTAGACTAAAGGTCCATCTAGTCCAGTATCCTGTCTTCCAACAGTGGCCAATGCCAGATGCTCCAGAGGGAATGAACAGAACAGATAATCAGCAAGTGATCCACCCCGTCACCCATTCCCAGCTTCTGGCAAAAAAAAAAATTGACTTTTTAAACTTAATATTTAAAAATGCATTTCCTTCTGAAAAAAATGTTTTGAAATAAATCAAATGTTTTCTTTAAAGAATTACTGCTTCCCCTGGAATTAAAAAAATACAGACATTTCTAGTGGACGTTACAAAAACATGTTTTGGGACAAATTTGTTAGTAGTTTTACTTTAACTTTGGGTTAAGACAGAGGTTGGCAAACTGTGGCCTGTGGGTCACATCTGGCCCATGGGACTGTCCTGCCCGGCCCCTGAGCAGGTCCTGGCCCAGGAGGCTCACCCCCGGCCCTTCCCCTACAGTCCCCTTTCCCCCACAGCCATGCCACCGTCTGTTGCGATGCTCTGGGCAGCGGGGCTGCAGAGCCTGGCCTGACCTGATGCTCTGTGCTGCGTGACTGCCTGTCCTGGTGCAGCCGCGCTGCCAGCCACTAGTGCTCCAGGCAGCACAGTAAGGGGTGGAGGGGGTGTTGGATAGAGGGCAGGGGAGTTTAAGGGGCAGTCAGAAGGTGGGGAACAGGGTTGAATGGGTGGGGGCAGGCAGTCAGGAAGGAGAAGGGGGGTTGGATGGGGTGGTGGGGGGCAGTTAGGAGCAAGGGGCAGTCAGGGAGAAGGGGTGGTCAGATGGGGCAGGGGACCCAGGGGACCAACAGCGGGGTGAGTGGATGGGGCAGGGGGGCTGTCAGGTTGCAAGAAGCAAGGGGGGAAGAGGGGGGGCAGGCTATGCCTGGCTGTTTAGGGAGGCACATACAATTTCAGAAACCCAGTGTGGCCCTCAGGCAAAAAAGTTTGCCCGCCCCTGGGTTAAGATGTCTATTGACAAACAAGGCAGACAATTTCAGCACTTTAGTCTCTGGAAAGCATTGAGAACTTTGAATTGTAGGTTTCTTTTAGTGAGAGCAGCTTTCGGCAAACTAAGTTTTTAGTTTCAAGAAATCAGTAAAAGCACAAATTCATTAGAGGCCACAATCCACCTGCAGTTGTGGGGAAGTTGGAGAAACTGCTGCAAGAAGCTGCTGGTTGGATTTACCAAACACATTTATGAGGAAGGTACTGTGGTGGGTTTTGTACCTCATCAATCCCTTAAGTCAGGGGAGGCAGTCCCACCTCTCTACAGGTGCATCCATTTTTTTACACACACCCCCAGCCGTCAGCCAGAGAATGGCTGGAATCCATTCAGTATGCCCCTAGGGCAGTATGGGGCAATGTCCAGAGTTCACCCAATTCCCCCTTCCCTAGTGGGGTAGCACAGCCTAGCAGCCAGAGTCAAAACTTCCCCCTTTGGAGGCAAAACAGGAGGCCTAGTGGCCATCACAAGGGGGGAGGAGGACCCAACCCAGGACCCTGTCAGCAGCAGAGTAATCTGCCAAGGGGTCAGCAGGGAATCCTACTGAAACAGACTGACCTCATAAGGGTGTGAGGTACCACTCCCTTAGCCTTCGTGGGTCACTTCCTACCCGCTCCCCTGCAGCAGTGGTCCATAGGGTATCGGGGTCTCCAAGCACCTCAGCACCAGACACGCCCTGGGGTTCCAATAGCAGTAGGCCTCTAGTCCAGGTTTCTGTCTCTCCAGCTCTTGTAGGGAAGACTTGTAACGGCTCCTGGGCTGGTATCCTCCTTTCTCAGCAGCCAGCCCTGAGTAAGGCAGCTCTGCAGGCTTTTATACCTGACTTCCAGGTGGAGCATGCCCAGCAGAGCCTCAGGGGTGGGACTTCCTCTGCTAGAAGGGAAGGATTAACCCCCCCGATACCAGTGCGGGGCTGATCTGCCCGTCACACTACACCAGGGATCGGCAACCTTTGGCACGCGGCCTGCCAGGGTAAACCCCCTGGCAGGCCGGGCCGGTTTTTTACCTGCCGAGGGATGAGCTGGCCGCCGCTTCCTGCAGCCCCCATTGGCCTGGAGCGGCAGACCGTGGCCAGTGGGAGCCGCGATTGGCCGAACCTGTGGACGTAGCAGGTAAACAAACCGACCCGGCCTGCCAGGGGGCTTTTCGTGGCGGGCCGCGTGCCAGAGGTTGATGATCCCTGCACTACACATTTGTGTACCTAAGCTCCCATTATTCAAACCAGCTTGAATATAACTTCTTCGTGCTGTGCTTGAAAACAAGCTACATTTGCAATTAAGCACCAAATTACCAGCCATTGTTGGCATATTGGTGAATTCATTTTGTAAATTAAGGGTCATATTACTGCTTTCAAAAATAAATAAATAAATGATGTGCCCATTCAGTGCCCTGCTATGATACTGCGTTGATGCAACGAGACAGCGCTAACCACAGCGGGAAAAGCTTCATTGATTTAAAATAAAGCTTGCTTCTTCCATGATGATACTTTACGTGATGGGAAATCCAAGCCGCACTACGTTTTTTTAAAAATTGAAGACCCTAACGTGGCTCATACGTCACTCTGCCTCCTATGCTACAACCACAATGCAGTGGTTTCTGCTTTCTAACTGGTAGCGATTGC